AAAAAAGAAAGGGTAGAGGGTGAAAAAAAAAGGTTCGAGGGTGAAAAAAAAAGGTTCAGAGGGTGAAAAAGAAAGGTGGAGGGTGGAAAAAAAAGGGTGGGGTGAAAAAAAAAGGGTTGAAGGGTGAAAAAAAAAGGTTGCCCATTAAAATATATATTGGCAAAAAACTAAAAATAATATAATTATTAAAAATAGAATATATATAACTATAAATGTATTCGTAGTTATATATTTATAGAACGGATATTCTTGGGATATGATTTTTTAATGCAAATAATCATAAAAAGAATATTATATTTTACAATGATTTTATGCAATAATCTCCCCAAAATATTTTTGAATAATTTTATGAGATCTAAATTTATCTTAATTGAAAGATAATATTAAAAATCAATCGACTAAAAAACAATAAATCAAACAACCAAATAAATAAAAAAAATTAATGTTTGAAACAAAATGGTGGCATTATTATATTGGTTGTATTTTATCTCAAATATTGGTGTTTTGGATCTTCCAAAATTGATTTTTAAAAAAACCCACTACCTCAATTTTGGAGATATATTTGCAAGACATCATTATAAAATACAATATGTTTGAATTATTTAAATTTAACAATGAAATTTGATGTTGAATTGGAATTCAAACAATTTTGGTATTAGATTTCAATTAAATTATTGATGGAAATTGATGTTTTAATAATTTGTTTTATAAATATATTTAAAATTAATTATTGATATTTTACAAATTAAATTTCATTTATATCATTTTTAAAATCGTTGAGAAAATTATTGTTTATATTAGATTTCATTTAATAATTCTTCAAAATTAATTATAGTAAATGTGAATTTGTAGCAAGAAGCATGAGTTGAAGTCATTCCATGATGATTGCGCTCGATTCGCACTCGCCGCGCCGCTCCCTTGTCCAGCGCGCTTGAGCCACACCATGTGGCCGCCCGTACTAGGCCTTGAAGAGAAAAGGTCCCCAAACGACAGACGGAAACTTAGAGCGTTCCGCATCGACGGTGAACTCGGTTTGACCTCCTTTCGTGTTCCCGTGTTTTCACA